AGTCATCACCGTCATGTTATCATCATCATCATTTCACAAACGTATCCAACAACAGACGAGTAGAACAATGATCTCAAAATCAATCAGCAGGTCTTTTTCTTTTGTTAGTTGTATTATATATAGAGTGTTCATTCCCAGAATTTTGAAAATAGAAAGACTAATTTCACTACCAACGAAAACTTTCGTCTTTACTTGCTATTGACAAAACATAGCAGTTTTTTTAGAATACGTTTCATTATCTTAGAAGAAGCCTTATTCGTACATACACTAGTTGTATTCTATAATCAATACCATGGATTTATCCCGTCGTCCTCGTTCCCGTCCTTTGTTCCTCCGAGTGTCATAATTATCATCATCATCAATCATTATGATGATTATGATTAGCAGTACGATATAAAGCCCCCCTTCAAACTAGAAACGTTTGATCAAAATATCAAAACGATCTTGGATTATCAAGCAAATTCTTGGGACGACAAAATACTTGTGGCGGGAGCTTAACCGGCTTAAAGAATTCTCATTAGCCATGATCCTCTACGCGTATTGCTTTTGTTTTGCGGATAAACAAAAGTCTAAGCGATATTTAAATCACCTCAAAAACGACCGTTCTTTCATATTTGAATATACTGAGCCATGACCGCAGTGCATCACGGTTGGGTACGAGTCGTCAGCGTAATAACGTACCTGTGCTTGAGTTCTGTCAGAATGTATAACGTCAACATTGATGCCATCATAAATCAACTCGTGAAAAAGTTCTTTTGCTCTGTCTTTTGACTGRACAAATACTAATACTGGTGGGCTTATTCCCTGAAAATCATATATAATACATTAATAATAATACTAATAATTTCAAATTATAAAAAAAATCAAATTAATAAAATTTCAAATTATTGAGCTAGATTAATTTTCAAAAATTCTTGAAGCAATTTGCAATACACTTTGTAAGACATTGAAGAAAATCGTACAAAATTAAAAAAAACCAGACTTTTTCTTTGTCTTTTACTATTAAACTGTATTTAACGGCTTTAGTAAAATGATAAAAAAAAACATAGTCTTTCACCTTGTGAATTATATCTTGCATTGCTAAAAGTTTTCCAGATTCTTGTCCAACAAATAGCAATTCTTGTTCTACTATTTGTGTTGCCGCATTTCTAGAAAGAAAGTAAAAAACCGTTTGTTTAAACGTGTTAAAATGTTAGAAAACGGTGTATTACAGCGTGGTGAAACTGAAACAGGATGTTGAAAGCCTCAAGCAAAAAAAATCAAACGAAACARAAGCCTCACCTTGCGCCAACAGTGACTTGCACATAGTTATCGAGGTGTATTCTTGACCATTCCTCTACGCCATTTGACAATGTTGCACTGAATAGTGCAYGTTTGATATTTTCATTGCTACATTCTTGGTAAATTGTTGCTATCTGAAAAAAAATACAACAGTCAATAATAATGTTTGGATAAAGTGTCCTGGAAAATGGCAATAAAAACGACAATATATTTGCAAGTTCGTCTATCAATGTTAAAGTTTCGTTATAAGATAATTAGCGTGTATTAATCTAGTGTGACCTTCCGTAAAAAGCGTAATGAGTTGCAAAACTACWTAGAGTACTATAAAACCAAACATTCTCGCCGACGAGTGATGATTCATCAAGAGCGTTTTTTTAAAACTATTGATGTTGGTGTGCTCCATATAGGAGTGCTAAGTACGTATTTTGTTTATATCTGAAAACCCAATCTGAGCAGGGTTTATCACTTAGGATGTTTGCCAAAAGAGAAAGCAGGAAAGCCTACAGCACCAGGTATTCCCAGGCAATCACCCATCCAAGTACTGACCTGGCCCTACCGGGCTTGACTGCGGTGATTGGACGAGAATCGTTTCTTTCCCGATGATAATTGGATAGACACTAGGGGTATTTCCGTACAATTACGTCATTTACTATGACGACACATATAGTACATGTGACGTCATAGCAATCTTTTTTTTTCAACAAAAGAATGACAGGGAGAGCAAAAAAACTTATTTTGTATCATTATTTTTCAGTTTTGCAACTTTTTAAATTTATTTGGCTTTCAAATGAGGGCCACACGGACCCTGTAATCTCACTCTAAATACAGCTGAGATGGATAAAACAGTAATTCACACATCCAACAAGGAAGAGACTTAAAAATACAAAGAGCATGTACCTGATCTCTAAATCCATCTTTTCCTTCTTCAAACAAYTTGTCTGCTTCATCAAGGACCAACCACTTCACACTAAACAACATTCAAAGAAAACAACAATGATTAGACTAGAAAAATTAACTACACAATCTATGACAGTTCAAAAACCCTAAACAGGTGAGCACTGATCTACTAAGCAGGTGGTCAGGTTAAAATCCAATAGTTGCATCACACAAAGACTGTAGCTGCGCCTTGTTTACAGTGTGTTTTCAATGATGGTTACCTAGAAAGGTTGATTCCTGGTGGGTCTTGGGACAAAAGATGAATAAGTCTGTTTGGTGTTGTCACAAGAATATCTGAGAAAGAAAACAACATTGACCTCAAAATTGCAATAGAGCYCAAACAGTAAAAGTTTGAAACAGTASTAAYTAAATAGTGCTAAATTGTGTTGATTAGAAAATAAAAAACAATGAAAATTCAATAATTMAGTTGCACTTGGCACTATTAATAAGTTTTCAACTTGGTAAGCAACYTACCAAAACGTTTTGATGATTTTTGACCAAAACTGTTAGAAGTAGCTTTAGCTTTGGTCAGAATGTGTATTCTGAAAGCACAGCCTTTAGACATATGACACAGTTCTCTATAGATCTGATAGATAAAATACCCTTATGTTAAAATCATTTTTGCATGTCAATTATAGTCTAGAACAGGAATGACTTGTTCCAAAAGATGAAGGTGAAGTGTGATAGCGATGTTATTAACATTTTATCATGTTTTTAAGAACAAACATATACTCTTAAAAAACAATAATCATTGGTATTGACATCAATGAATTTGCAATGTAAGTAATTCTAAAATATAACAGTAAAAGTATGGACAAAAAAATACGTTTCCAAAAGGCAAAAATAAATTAATTCTCACCTGTTGTGCAAGCTCTCTGGTTGGTGACACAATCAAGGCTCTGAAGCCACTCTTTTTAGGTTTCTAACAACAAAAACAAATAATTTACATGTAATGAATTCATTAAKAACCATGGTTAACTCAGTTATTGACAATTCACAAGTAAATACGAGTCATTCATACCTTGAGGTCATGTAAGATTGGAAGAATAAATGCAACAGTTTTACCAGAACCTGTTGGAGCACAACATAAAATCTCTCTGCCCTGGAATTATAAAAAACATACTTACTAATAATAATTACCGTATGACCCATATCTGGCCCAATGCATACTGAGTCAGCTCTTACAAAACCTTTTGAATGTGCTGTTGTTAACAGCCAAAGGCCCTGATATGGCCCTACAACTAAAGTCAATAATGTATCAATGTTACTGTATCAGATCACTGCTACACAACTTACCTGAAGCATAAGAGGCATTGCTTGCATTTGAATTGCAGTCGGTTCAACATAGCCTCTTTCTCTAACATTTCTAACAATGTAATCTGCAAATTTGTATCTAAAAGCAATTAAAAATCATTCAGTTTCTTGGATAAATTTAATCTTATCCAAAGCATCTTAGAGAGCTGATTGTCTAATAGTCTCCTGTCACGGTTACCTGCACCATCTTGAAAGGTAGCCGTACCTTTGCATCAAAGCAAGATGACTGTTGAGCATGCAATGATAGAAACCTTCTTTCACACCTACAGACAATTATTCACAGGTATCTATCATTGCACGCTYAATGGTTGTCTCACTTCCATGTAAAGGCACGGCTACCTTTCAAGATGRCGCAGGTAACCRTGAAGGAGACTATTACTGTGGCATAAGACTTCTGGTCTACAGGCCTGGRTTGAATTACTAGACTGTGTGATCATATTGTGTTCTTAGGCACAATACTTTACCCTCTCTGGTCYCTTATCTCTAAGAACCAGCACTTAATAAAATACAGCTAGTAACYCAATGGATGCCTGCTGAATGCTGGGTCTCTGTACATAATTATTATGATCTATTGCTAACAAAGACAATCCTTGAGAAAATTCTTCTTTCTACTGCATTTACATTGTAATCTATGTTCATCATTAATGTAAGTTTAAACGATATGACACATGATTGTACATTGAATGGATAGTGGTTTGAATGGATTCTGTGGTTGGAACAGTACAGTACCTTTCTTGTAACACATTAAAGTTCTCCGCTGGGTCAGGTATGTCTGAGCCTTTGACAAATATTCTATGYGTRTGTCTGAAGGCATTTATCTGATAAAAATGATAAATACATGAGAAGTCTACAACGGCTCAATTCRCAAGATTTCACCWTCTGAAACATTTGAAATATTCTACMTAAAACTTGGATKRTATAAAAGATGYAAARAAGGACAAMTTCCTTGTATAAAACTGGGATATGACACTTCAGAAATGAAACATTTTTTCTAATCACTGAGTGATGAGAAAATGAATTGAACARAATCTACTTTAATTAATGTTTCACAAGGTTTATGAAAGATATTTCAGGTATTTTGTTTACTTTTTCAATGTGTAACTCAGCTTTTTGTTTTCTAGATTGTTTCCCCTGCTTATCCTCAAGCTCTTCRTTTCGTTCATCTGAAGAGGAAAATAAAATGAAATGTTATAAATACAACAAGTTTTGGCGTGATAAAAGAGGAAAGGAACACTACGTGTTGCCTTATCAGTGATATTATACTTTGAAGTAGTTAAATATTTTGCACTTACTATCATATTTGGCTTTTCGTTTCTTTTTCTTCGTTGACTTTTCRTCTAAAGGTGTTTCAAAGATTCGTTTTCTATTATCTGAATGAGACTTTTCAATGTCGCTAGAGTTTGAAGGCACTTCATCCGTCTTGGTCTTGTTACCAAAGAAGTCAAGAGTTTCTGATAGGTTTTGGGAATCCAAATTACCGTTGTTAACTCGTGGCTGAAAGTAATTGGGTTATCATTAAAATATGAAACCATGTTGTGATTTACATGTACATTATTTTATCTAAAAAAAAGGAGTTTATGCTGTCTTGAATTCTACAGATCTTTTCACGTGCGCGACGGATGCAGACGATGATTCGGGATAAAAAGCACTTCATATTTGCAGATAATGTAACTAAAACGTGTTCAAAAACCCATATTCCCTTCTTTGTAGCTTTATTGGCATACCTGCACTTTCTGAAGACCAARTTCTAAGGATTTCTTCTGTATTTTTGCCCCCAAACACAAGCGTTTGAATAAGTCGTGTTTGTCCGCCATATTGTTTAGAGTCCCAGGCYCTTCTGCGGTATATCGCAGGGATCCCAACTTATTACAGTGGTAGATAGGGAAGCAAGAAAAATATTAAATGTATAGATTTAGGTCTTCAGAAAACCAGTTTAGTTGTTTTTTTAAAATGAAATCTTTTATTTTATTTATTTATATCATGATTTCTATTTATATATTTTTKAAGCCTACAAAAGGGAGCATCCTAAGGAACCCACATTCAATCTGCTGCTGTTCGTTTCTCACTTCCTGAACTATTTCTGGGAGGAATGACCAACAGGTTACACCTGGGTTCCCGAGGATGAAAGGGGTTGGCTAGTGACCCTTATCACCCCCACTGGACACCCTCTTGTATTATAGGACAATTACAAATATAACTTCTCCTTGCAAATAGTCTAAAAGAACTTTTCCACATGAATGGCTAGTCTGGTCAGAGTWAGTTAATGAGACTGACTGCTCTAATTGTTTTAGCATTGATTAGCATGCACTAAACAAATGTTAAAATGAAATAAATAAGTTTTAAATGACTTTTTCTCTTTTCTAGGCTGTTGCCAATACGTATAGCCAACTTGCAATTTCGATAAATGAGAACATAAGACAAGACGTTTTGCCACGAATTAAAGCTGAACTATTGCATTACCAATTCCTAAATATACTCATACAAACATTCATATATAAAAGCTATTAAAATATGTTAATGTAGAAAAGCAATATATGACRTTTTATATATTAAGCCATTTTGTGTTGCAACTCTGTTCATCATTGCAACACGCAACACTTCGRATCATCGTCATAAACTGAGCTCACAAGAAGCAGATTATCGTGAATTTGAAAAGTTTTTCGGTTCGTCTCAACATAAACCCACTCGTCAAACTTCTTATCTTTGTTTAGATTTCTCATCTCATCAAAACTTTGCAAAGAAGTCGGATCTTCGGCCATACTCAGGATTTTCTCCACGTCCTGTAAGTCTATGATCAAAAGGTCMTCATCATTTTCCATGAAATCCGTCGAAAATCCGCACTGTTGATCTGTAGGGATATCAGACTGTGTTTTTGTTGATTGAGKGTGTTCACTGCGAAGCTCGATTATGTCAAGATCAGTGCTACAAGGAAAGGTATCTTTCTCTGTTTGCGTAAGATGATCACGGGTATCTAGGTTGTTTCCTTGTGAGGATCTCGACATAGTTTACAGTGTTTAATTCCAGTCCAGTTAGTYTCTTTTGAATTGCATTTCCTGGTCGGCGTAAACTACAGTAATCTTGAATTTACACGTGAAACACAACGAGAAGTATTCTTGTTTTCTATCTTCGATGCACTGTTCTGTTGTTGTTCTCCGACTTGACCGAGAGAAACTGGGGCGACCTGTGACCACCACTTCCGGTTCACAAATACGGCACACGTACGGGACAAGACCCGGAAACCACGGAATAGACTAAAATAACGTCAGAATGAATCACTAGTCAAATTGATGACAAATAAGACACGCATACGATGTACCTTTTATAGTATACAGTTTAGTTTTTTAGTAATTCTTTGATATTCGAGGCCTTTTGTTATTCCAAAACATTCATCTGTGTAAGAGCATGTATTAGGACATTGGTTTAGGTCATAAAGGTTGGTGTATCGAGCCAAATAGTTCATTTTCCTTGGCGAGATATAAACCGATACTTCGTAGCTGACTACGTGGCTGTCTGATTCTGAGTTGCATAGCCTATATTTTCTAATTTGATGAGGGATTCTGTCTCTTCTGGTTAAAGAAAACAATGCTATTCACAGATGAGTATTCCTAGATGAAGATCATTGAAGCGATCATATGTATGGTTATAGAGCGGGCCCTTCCTGTTTGCGAAGATCGCTCGCCACACGGCGCCGAGCTGTCTGATTTTGATACTGTAGTATACTTGACCTTTAAATTACTACAATATTCTTACTATGTTTCACGCGGAAGACTATCAGAGTGAACGATTTGATTCTACGCTTTTAAAGATTTGTCAAAAATTATTGTATATCTAGTTCCTTCAAAAGCTGCTAAATATTACGTGAAAAGTAAATCATCAACAAGGAGTTACTTTCACAAATGTTTTTCTCTTAATATAGTTTGATTTCAAATCACTTTGTGATTTATCAGTATAACTGCATGCCTTTGGTAGCACTATTCTTTACATCTAAACCAGACCCTCCTTAGAGCGTCAACTCGGTCGAACTATTTTTGAAAATTGAGAAAGACAGTATATTACATGGTTGGTCAAACACAAGAAAAGTTTTAAATGAGCTCATTTTGAAAAAGTACTGAATAAGACAGCAATTTTCAACACCTTTAGGGCACGAGTACACCCTGCTGTCAGTATCTATTGTTCATTCCTCCAACATGGGCGACGCAGGGGCGGATCTAGGGGGGGGAGGGGGGTGAATAGGGTGGCTAGCCACCCCCCATTTTTCTAAGCTCTTCTTCCTTTTTTTTCTCTTATCCCTCAAATATTGAAATATTAATTGATTTCTCCAAAGACTGATTGATTCTACCTACTATTTGCCGAGCATTTATGGAACTCCATCCAAGGAGGATGATGGAACAATCACTTTTGTGGCAGTAAATAGCCTAGATGACATTAGTGGGTGTAATGTATATTCGTGTGTACACGGTAAACTCTCATTGTTCTTGATAAATACTAATTTTAAACGTGAGAGATTCTTTGCTTCAAGTGCCAGAGTATTGCGTACTTGTTCAATAAAGAGTTACTAAAAAGGTAGTCTCCTTCGCAGCCTACCCTTTTGTCGGGCTTCCTGTTCCTCTTTTGGGAGGGACAGGAAGCCCGACAAAAGGGTAGGCTGCGAAGGAGACTACTAAAAAGGCCGCTGCAAATCGCATGTCCGAGAGTCTGGATTTCAAAATTTCTTGGGGGGGATGATCCCCAACCCCCTAAGGGCTCCCGGCTTCGGTGTTTGGCTTCCATTTTATTACATTATTTTAGCAATTCGCCCCCCACTTCAAAGTCCTGGATCCGCGCCTGCGACGGTCTTTTATCTTCGATCAATAAGACTCTGTAAGATAAAGAAAGGGGAGCATTGTAAGTTTATAACGTTAAACTCAATTTTTTTCCTTCTATCTCTTTAATTCACGGATGAGTAAACATCATCATTAAAACATTTGTCTTACATTTTAGTTATTCCATATACCTTTATATATAATATGTTACGTTAACTAGGATCTACYGCTGAATTTACCCTTCCGCGCTACTTCTACACTAAATGCTGGCTCACGTGACTCCATTTATTACGTCACAAGGGTTATCKGCGCAATAAAACTTAGGACTAAAAACCTGAACACTAATCTACAACTTTGCGCATGTYGATACTGKTCATTTTACGCATGCGTGTATGTAGCAGTCCTCAACGTTTGTAAATGTTACTATACAAATATCTATCAATTTCATTGATTGGCGCTATGAACTATACTTTATATTTGTGCTTGGTTTATACGGGCATTTATATATGTGTTCAATTGTACTGCGTTACACTACATCCAATAGTTGCCAGCAAAAAAATAACCAGACCAACTAAGTCAGTAAACGGTAGTTTGYATTTTTGCCTGGTCACAAAGATTACATAATAGCGCACTTCCCACCACGTCCACAAGAACATTTGACTGTCTTCTCGTCCAACTCTTCCATGCTCCAGGCTTTCATCTCRACCTTGGATTCTCTATTCGAGCTGASATCGACGTCGTCAAAGGCTGCAGAGTCCTTGTTAGTTGCTGTCTCASTCTTCTCGCTTTTCTTGAWATCAGTTTTGGGCACACCTTTGGAATCGTCAAACGCTTTGTTTTGTATYACTACCACTTCTTTAGCCTTTGCCTCGTCTGCAATGCTGTCTTTTGACTGAGAACTTTTTGATTGATAGAAGTCRGCTCCAAGTGATGATTCGATGACAAACTTTGGCTTGTCGTGTTTAGYTTTGCTCTTACTTTGTTTCGTCTTTGCTTCTGTATCATCTGCCAYTGATGGAAATTCTTTRTCAAGCGCCGTTTTGATTTCATCGTCTTCATTGGTTTGTTCAAATGTYTTGTTGGCTTCATCGCCGTCGGGGCTGATGATCTTTCGTTGACGACTCCTCGAACGACGTGACTGTTGTTCATACTGACCAAGAGTGTCAATGGCGGGTGTTTCTTTATTTTCCATCGGCGATGTGACCTCAATGCTTTCTCTCATTTCTTCAGTCTTTCCTTCTTCTTTGAACTCTTTTTTCAAACCAAGGGAGAATGTTGTAGCGGAAACAGTCTCACTCACATTCGAAACCGTCACTTGATCCTCTTTCTTGCCGAATGTTTTAAATGAAAACGGCTCTTTATCCTTCTTGTCAGTTTGTATTTCTTTGAGGTTATTATTGCTTGACTCACTCACCCCTACAGATTCTGTAACCTTTTGTTCAACATTTGCTGCTTTATCGCAATCCAGCTTGGAAACTTCACTTTTACCGATGGTTAAACCATCTTCGTTGGTAGGAACTTCGACAACAATAGACTCATTGCGCAGGAGCTCTTCCATTCGYTTGGCTTCGGAGAAGATATCCTCGTTCATAGAAAGGTCTAAATTCGCCTTCGATTCTTCAGTACTAACATCCTGCCGAGGGGGTGGTGTAGGGGGAACCTTGCCAGGGGAAGGTGTATCTTTTKTCTGTGGTTCGTCGACCTTCATCGTCTCTTCGACTTTTGAAGTCTCTTCAACTTTTGGAGTTTCTTCAATTTTCGGTTTTTTAATTCTTTCATCGGAATCTTTTCGAGTAAGAATGCTTCCTGCTGGCGCTGGTATTTTACTTCTTGGGGTTGAAAACTGAGGAATTTTGGATTCAGATGGTGTTGTTGGTGTTTCAGGTTTAGATGTAYCAGACGAAACAACTTCTGGTTTAGGAATGCCGCTTTCTTTCTGTCCTGGACTATGAAGTTGAGGAATTCTGGATTCCGTRGTTGCAAATGCGGGTTTGAGGTCAAGTTTCGGAATCCCTGTTTGTSCAGTWACCTCTGGCTTAGGAATRCCMGTAGTTTTAGGYGTCGTGCTTAGATGYGGGATTTTGGATTCCGGCTCTTCTTTACTTGGAGTCTTAGTAAGGCTGTGCTTGTTTRAGAAGGAAGGTATTTTACTGGGCGGAGTGCTGTTGCCTTGCTGAGAGCTTGAGATGGATGGGATTCTACTTTTGGGAGTCTCGACACCTTCTGTTGTCTGGTTTCCTTGATTTTCCGGACGAGTCATCGATGGAATTTTAGACACTGCAGGACTGGTACTCTTTGCGATTGAAGGAATACGACTTACTTTAGCATTTTGCTTATTTACGTCCTCTAAGCTGTCTCCATTTAATGCTGGRTCTTTGTTCTCTTTTGCTGGGTCAGCTCGCTGAGGACCAGGAATTTTGCTAGTGGGTTTGTCACTAATCCCTGTAGGAATGTTGGTCTTTTTTGGCTCTTCTTCGCTTTTCTTTGAAAAGGAAGGTATCTTGCTCTTTGGTGGGATTTTTGAAGGTGGAGTTGAAGTCTTTGTGAGGGATGGAATCCTCGATACTTGGTTGGATGATGTCGGTGTTGGTATCTTAGACATTTCTGCAATAYTTRAATTAYTTTTTTCTGAACTAAYAGTTTGCGATTCACTCACTGGGGAAGTTGTGCGATTTAAACCAGAATYTTTTGCTGTATCTGGAGATGAACTTCTTTGGTCTGTTTTTACCCCAGCAGATATACAATTTCGAGATTCAATTATCTCAGTGTTATTTCCTGAAGATGGAGCTTTTAAAACAATATCCGATTTTTCCTGACCCAAAGGTTTACTATTAMACTCAGGCGATGACAAATTACAATTGCCCTGCCTCGKWGATTCTACAATATTAGAAGAAAGGGGTTTCTTTATAAGTTCGTTCTGATCTTTGGCAGCGTCAGATACAGAGTTCACTTTTGTGTTTTTAACTTGAGGTTCTGGCGACGTACAAGKAGTCGCTTTGCTATTGCTACTCGTAACAGATTCTTGTGAATCYTTTAAAGAGTTWTCGCCTGTATCAGCTTTCACTAAACCAGCAGATGCAAAGACCCGTGGTTTTGGRAGACTGCTCTTAGAAGGAGAACTGGGTRGTTTCTTAACGGACTCACTCTTTTCTGGTGATTTTACGGTTTTACTTGAAATAATATGATTTGTTGCCTCCTCTTTTCCTTTGAGGGCGTTAGTCTCTGGYTTTGTATCKTGTYCTGRCGCCTCTGAGTTAGACGCAGCAGATTTTACCTTTTTATCACTTTTAACAGAAACTGACTGTGARTCTTTCGATGKWGTAGGTGTGTTGTCTGGTTTGTTTCCACCAGGTGCTGGCGCACGTGGCTTTGAAAGTCCGCTCTTCGAGGGAGAAGGGGGAGGCTTTTTACTGAGGTCACTCTTTTCCCGCTTTAAGGATCCYGGTGACGTAGAACCACGTGGTTTGACGACGTCACTTTTCTCTTTTGTTATACTAGATGGTGATTGCGAACCGCTTGAAGTAAGATCACTTTTTTCGCGTCTTAGTCTTCCTGGAGAAGCAGACGCTCTAGGCTTCGCTGAAGAAGTAGMAGCTCCTGGAGACTGAGAACGTTTACCGGTGATGTCACTTTTTTCYCGCCTTAAAGGACCTGGAGAAGCAGAACCACGCGGTCGAACGAGGTCGCTTTTTTCTCTTTTCAAGGGTRCTGGAGGCTGCGAGCGCTTTAAAGTGATGTCACTTTTTTCACGTCTTATCGATGCTGGGGAAGCAGTAACACGGTGTTTCACGGTACCAGGAGATTGGGAACGTTTTAAAGTGATATCACTCTTTTCTCTCTTCAAGGCAGTTGTTGGGCTACCTGTCTCGCCTGATTTYCGTGGTCTGATAATAAAATCAGTCTTCTCTCGCCTTAAAGAATCAAAAGGCGAACGGCTTTCGTTAGCGACTTTTGGACTTTTTGTAGCAGACTTCGGGGAGGATTCGCTTCCTCTCCTTGCGGTTGTACCGTTGCAATGGTTTTCGCCGTTTGTGGATTTTCGAGGTTTGGYCTCGGAAGTCTTTTTCACAGATATAAACAATGGATATCGATCACCGTTAGATTCTCCGTCRGGAGAGTCTCCTGAACTACTGCTTTTTTCGCTGTCCTTTCGTGGAGATACTGGCCGGTTGTTCTTAACCGAACTGTTTTCGCTGTTTCGCGGCGGCTCTTTCCTTTTTACGACGATTTCTCTTGATTTTCGTCTTTCGCTGGATTTCGATATACCTACATCACTGTGACTTCTAGCAACTTTTTTTCGTGTTTTGGTTTGTTTGTTRGGTGTAGGATCTTTAGGTCTGAAGATGCTTGGCTCAGCAGCTCGTAATCCGTATGGTGCCTGGCCTCCAAATATTGCCGATGCGTTATTTGGCTTTAGTGGTGCACTGGGGAGACTGCAACATAAAATAATATYCACTTAGTATTGTGATGTACTGATCAAGCTAAACCAATCAGCTTTGTGGAAAGTTTGGATCAGTCAATGACTTGGGTGACAACAGTAACGACAACGTCTAGCGATCATGCGCAGACACATGACCAATAATCTCATTGTTTATAAAAAATCCGGCTATCCCCACCACGATGTCTAAGTGAACAATGAGAAAGACTTCAGTTGTCATTTTTATCCAACATGAAGAATATATGACGGGTTAAGAGCAAACCAAGATTATGTCACAACAGTTTGTTTATAACCTCGACTTTATATATTTTTGAGCGAAAAGTAACAAATCTGAAAATGCCCTTTGATAATAATTTTAACTATTAAAGTATCAATAGTACTAATTGTTTATACTTATCAATCCTTCAAGGGTTGGTATGCAAGTTTTATGAACAAAAAAGCAACCCACTTATATTGATAATCTTTTTTTAATGTTTTTTAAAGAARTATGGGTAAACTATAAAGAGTCAGCGCCGGCGTTTCAAACCAAACTGTTTTCAAAGAAAAGTTAAAATTGAACGCTGTCTAAATCTTTTAACGGTACAAAATTTTACGCGGATATTTATCACGACTCTGTAATAACAGTAATATCAATAAAGCACTTCATTTTATAYGCAGCGACCATTGTCGTCACAAGAACTAGTGTTTCTACAGAAACACCGACTAATTACACATTACTGCTTTAATTACAATATAACTGCATTTTGAACAATTCAAAACAAAGTCCTTAATGCCACTTAAATGGATTTATTACCACGCCATTACTTTTGCAAAGAAGAAACTGACAGCAAGATACATAACAAGTGCCATTACGGTGATGATAAAAAGGAAATTTAGTGCAAATCTCTTTTGAAACAACTAGTTATTTTTATATYAATTCTTAAAAGGCCCTTAAAAAGAATTGCTTGAGTTTAAGGGATGCAATGCAAGGATTAGTCAAATAAACGATTTAGGTGGGAAAACGTAAGAGCAACTACTCCAGAATGGCCCCAGGCGACTTTTCATAATATGCACCTCCRTGTATTGTTCAGGCTCCAACATGCTAAGWGTACTGTGTTCAAACCAACAATAGAATGAATTGTTTTAAGCAGTGTCTATTATAGAGGATTAAATTTTATCCATTRCATCAACCTTTGTCGTGATAATATAACAATGGTAATAATTTTAACGGTATTAACTCAAGTCACGCAATGTTTTAAATCATTTTTAGACAGATAATGGTATTGATGTGTATCCATTAACACATGATGAGTTCATCAATGATACTTAAACAGAATGATGACAAACTAAGCAATAATTGTCATGGAAGTTATATTTCATTTAAGTTAACCTGGAATTTCGCCAAAAATAGAAATGGTGTAAATATGAGAACAGAACTGGATGAAAGAGGCAGGCAAAGAAGAAGAAAGGGACGAATAAAAAGAAGACAACGATGATGAACAACAACTGCGGCAAAAGCAACAATAATCACTGCAATTGAAATAAACAATTTTAACCTTTCATAAAAATARGTCCTTTCAAACACGTTAATCCGGCTATATTATAAGAGCTACGAAAATGAAGTAACCATGAGTTGGCTAGTTATTTAATCCTATATAACGACAAAAGCAACGTCAAAACCAGCTACACTGATAATTATGGAAACGTTCACGATTCATATATGAATATTTGAAGTCGCACTTATTTCATCATTCATGACTGAATCTGATGTGGTTTTTAACGAAAACGGACGGCGAAAATAAACCACGACAAAACAATTAACATACTGATTTGTTCAGCAACATTAAATCACAGGAATGACAACAAGATAAGACAAAATCAAAATTGACGTCCTTCGTTTCCTGAAATTCAATCTATAGACACATCACAATATGCAACGCCAATAAAAGAAGTGAGGTAATTCCTGTGTGCCAATACATTAAATTAATACGAACACAAAATATCACGCAATATAAAAAACTTATCGCGCAAACCAATAACAAAATAAATTAAATTAATTCCAATCATGTTTTTCAAATTATTCAACATTTGCGTGAGCARTTGATAAAAACTCAAAAGTTTCCCCTCATGAAACTACGACATAAGATAAAAATAGACGTAACATCAGATAAATAAAGGTTTCTTTTGTAAGTGTTCGCATGAAATCCTGATAAAACCATCAGTATTTGACCAATGAAAACGAAGTTTGCTCGATTACATTAGCAACACTTGAACACTTTGTACGGAAAAGTCAACGATCCGTAGAAATATCACACAAAGTTRTTAAACAAATCCACTAGAATAAAGAATGTATTCAAGTCAATGGGAATAAAACCACAAACCYTGCAGAAAATAACATATTCGATACGCACATTTACAACTATAAATCATATGAAACTATTAAAAGTGAGTGATGACATTTTGTGATAACCGAATATCACTTAAATTTGTTTGAACAACGCATGATCTTAACTGAGATAAGAATGTTCTAATTACGCYAAACAAAGGCCAAGCCWGCAAGTTCTACAAATTAAAACTCAAAACTTGCAAGAAAATCCATGATAACCTATTTGCTGTGAACAATATTGACCGCACACAGTGAACATAAATTCCAACGCCATTTTTATGTCAAGYTTTAGCATTTTTGTAAACAAACTTGAAAATTTCAAAAAATCATCTTGAAAACTTATAAAACGCACACATATGTAAAAATATATCAGCAAACTAATGCTACTTCGTTTCAATGAATATTCAAAGAAAATTGTCGCCAAGCGTGGGACGAATTCCGACTGGCATAATAGTTGTTCAATATAAGTCGATACCAAAGTTGTACATCGAACCACAGGGCTATATAAACCAGCAATGAAATTGAGAGACACTTTTTAACCTAATTAAGTTCATGATGCGAGAATTGTTGTCACAAACTATACGGCGTCACGTTACACAATGTGTCGATTCATATCACGAGGCGGTTTAGTACAATACAAAGCAAGCTTTTGAAGTCTTTGTGGAATTCAAAATGGTCTCTATTAACACAGGGTGTCATTAGCCACAAACAGTTAGAGAATAGAGAATCAAGCTTGTATTGTACGATTTTAAATAATATTTTCTTTGGCTAGATAACCCTCGAATATGTCAGATATTTAATCGAAWTTTTGTATACTTTTCTAGTGATAAAAACAAATAAATGTCAACATTAGAATAAGTCCTTTTACAACAAATGTTGAAATAATATAAACCAGGATTTTACTTACGGCTCGTAGAACTTAGCCCAGAAATTTGACATTGTTACTTCCAAAATGASAAACGCTTGAACTCCACCGTGTTAGTCCAGACAAGYTCATTGGTTTTGAAAAAGCTTTGAAATGTTATAAAGTATAAACGCTATTCTCCCGTCTTCTTTCGGCATYTCAGCGCCGACGGATTCGTGCCTGTCAACTACCACAATGCGAGGTTATAAAGCCGTATTCGACGATATCTCTTCATCTATTCGCTTCAAAATAGATCCATTCCCATAGCTTGTTTGAGTGACCTTTGAATACACGCCTCAGCTACAGTTTGATGATTTTGATTTTGAAAATGTCCGCTTGAATGGTTTCTGTGTTATTCGAGAATATTGGAACTGTTGTCATTCTCATTCGCCAAGCGCCATATGAAAGCGGAAGAGAGGAGTACGCCTGGAAACAAGTTAGCTTGACACGCCTGGATTGAATCTACTGAATAATTGATCGGAGAAAAATACCCGGCCACAAATGAAGGCTGACACCGTACATTTAAGACTCTTAAAAAGGCTTTTTGTCTGCGAGAGCTTAAAAAATATCGGGCTTTCAGAACGCAAGGATGTTGTTATTACCAGAAGTATAAATGATGTTTCTACGGTCAATGCCATAATAAAGGCACCAGACAATTTTCCATTTCCTTTACGTATTCTAYGGTCTAAGGTCTCAACATCTGGCCTTACTTATTCTTCACAATRAATGGATAATGTTGTACGTGCGAGGGGACGTGCGATAATTAAAAAGATGGAAATTTTTTTCGGTTGAAATGAGTATAAACACTTCGACGCTTTTGAGAACATGCACTCTGTAGTAAAAATAGACGAAGATGATATTGGKCATACAAATGCTACAGAAAAACCTCGACTATAGTCAATGTTTTCATTCATTATTTTTCATCAGTCGGGGTCGAAAGATTTGCATAYGTTGTTTAGCAATAAATCAAACTTTTCACGGATTTTATAATTTCAACCCCCAAGTTTGTTTGTATACATTTTACACTTACGTGCTAGATTTTTACACATTTTATGGTCGGGACTGTTGTTTAACCTTGGTTTTTCGGGACAAATCGTTTGGCTTAGTCGATAATGTTTACATCGAAGGACTATTTCATTCTATATGGACTACCACGCACAAGATATTAACCATCGATATTACAAGACAACAGACATCTAACGAGCACGTTTGTAAACCTGACTTCAAACCTCAAATAAAATATACCAGTACAACCATTTCATAATAACATTTGACAGTAATGCGTTGCTAAGAAGCGCTAGAACATSTCTTGTAATGCTGAAGCAGCGAAAAACTATAGATAAGTCAGATTAACGATTGAATATTTCCCGATTTCAAAACAGCATGGGTTATAAACTAATGCAGGGTTGCAAGTTTACATTGATAACAGCTAATTACAGACAATCGTACMTACCGGACAACATCCAACACAACGGCTCGAAACACTTATAAGATTCTCAAGGGTTTCTTGTAGATAATTCGGGACATATTTACCTTTCAATCTCAGCAAAAAAGCGGAAGGAATCCTTTCAAACACGTCCACCATTCAAAAACACATGGAGTTAACCGCTGCCCAAGCGTGACGGATTCATAACTCAACTACTTGTCAATAACCAATCAAATTTGCGGCCCTTTTTGATACTTGTTTATTTTCTTTTTTGAATTTGTATCTCAAAACAATATTTTCTGAATA